TACTGACTGACACTCCAAATTAACAACTTGAGACACTTTCTTTTACCTGATTAGACGTTTGTTTTATTGTGTATGTCGTCGTGCATCAATGTGTGCGCGTGCGTCGGTGTGTTAGACTCTGGAGACGGCAGTGGACGGGGATGAGTTGGTGTTTCTGCACCAACTGAAGGAAGGAATCTGCCAGTCCAGCTATGCCGCCAATATTGCTGCACTGGCAGGCCTGCCAACTAGCCTTGTGCATAGAGGAGTGGAGGTAAACACACAAACACACACACCCACACCCATACAGATACGCAGAAGCAGGCTCACATAGACTGTCTGTGTTTGCTCAGGTGTCCGAGCTGTTCAGGACAGGGCGGCTCATCAAGCGAATCGACAGAGCGTCGTCTGATGAGCGAACGAACCGGTTTGTTAAAAATCAGCCACACAGAACGACAACAGAAATCAACACAGCAGAGCGACTGTATGCGAGCCAGATACGTTTTATACGCGTGTGAACGACAGGTGCAGGTCTTTGGTGGAGGCCTTCCTGAGCCTCGACCTGGACGACAACGAGTTGAACCTTCAGAACTTCATGACAGAGGAGCTCCTGCCCTCTGCTGGGGAGCTGCTGAACCACAGCTGAACTGTTCTGCTGACACTGCAGACACGATTCTGCAGCCCCGTGGCCGGTTTGTCCATTCACCGTTCACTGTTTTCAGCAAGTTTGGGGAGAGGGAGGGGTTTAGGTGAGGCTCCGCCTCTAGATACATCTCAAGAATTATATTACAGCATCACTGAAGTATTTATTATATTGCATGGGTTTTTCACATAAAATATGGTATACAGACATTGTCTTTCTAAAATAATTTCTCAATGCCAAAGTAGTATTTTCTAGTTCTGTAAACAAAATTCTGTACAGCTTTGGACAACATTAATAAATGCAGCTTGTTTTCTGTCATTCTGTCGAGGCCTCAGAGAGTCAGGAGAGCCACTGTGAGATACAAAAGTGCGGCAATTGGCAGTTTGTGCGCCGAGTTGCACAAGGGGGTGTCGCAGCACTTTTTGGTCATGGCAAAGATGGTGTTGTTATAGAACAGCTCCACGGTGGTCTCCACGTCACACCCGTCCGCCTTAACACACCCCAAAGTCTTAACGTCCAGGGTGTCCGCTGTGAAGACAAGACGCTGGTTTTAAATGTAACGTCCTTTAGGTGAATCCTACAAGTTTAACCCGATCGCCTTTTGACTCCTTTTAATGCCCAAATGTTAATTAATAGGCTTAAAACTGGAACCATCTTTTGCAACACACCTGCCTTCCCTCGGCCCGTGTAGCAGCGCTCGCCGACGCTGCAGTTGATTTTGGTGGTGTAGCAGGCATCCCAGAAGCCCAAGTCACAACGGAAACACTCTAGAAACTCTTCAGCCTCCTTAGATCCCATTGACTCCTCTTCCTCACCTGAGTCCAAGGAACAGCACAGAGACAGAACAGTTTGATACAGTAGTTATGTTTACGTTTTAATGGAATGAATTGACGGGACATCCTGTCAAATGAGAATGCCACATGGAGGCAATTACAACTTTATTATCTAAATGATGTTGCCGTACTGAGTTAAAGTGACACACTTGTATTAGTTGATTATCATTGAGATTGTGAACTTGTTTACACCATAATTGCAGGACAAAAAGATGACCAAAGAAGCTAAAAACAGAGAATATACACTTATTAAAAGTTTTAACAGATGAAAACCTTTGAATTATTCAGATTTCGAGACATTTACATAATGTGTTGTTGGACACATTTATTATTCAGGGTTGTGCTGAATGTGTGAAAGTGTCGCAGCGCTGTTGAAGGACATTAAGCCAAGCGGATGAGCCACATTCTGCAGAATACTTCAGAATCTGAGAAATATTTGTGTTTGTTCTGCGGCTGTCTGGAATTTGTTTCTTTGAGAGGGGTCCATGTCTTTGGGCGGCATCAGGTTTTTATTAACTAGACAAATGCTGGAATTAATAGAAAGACAGCAGAATGTTATGCAGGAGTGAGACAAACTCTTGTTAGTCCCGGCACAATTCACTGAATTACATTACATCACATGTCATTTATCCAAAGCGACTTACAATAAGTGTATTCAACCATAAGGATACAAACCCTCTCAGAAGCAAGAAAACAAGAAAGTGCAATTTCATCAAATAAGCCAATTTACAATTTGCTATAGATAAGTGCCATTATAAGTAAAATTTAAGTGCTACAATTTGTTAGTCTTTCAGTCTAGGTATATATAGTCTGAAGATGTGTGTCTCTCTGCGGTCCTGGTGTCTTCAGAGAGCTCGTTCCACCATTTTGGAGCAAGGACAGCAAAGAGTCGTGATCTAGTCGAGTGGTTTGCTCTCAGTGAGGGAGGGACACGCCTGAAGATAAGATAACTTGTGTCACACTTTAGCCTCTTTGCACTTTAAAATGCAAAGAGGCCTCTTCCTTCAATCGATTATTTATTAGCAGTTTAACATGTGCGCCAAAGAGGCGTTAAAGTTGTCATTTCAAGTTCATGCCACCCCGTTTTATATTCAAAGAGCGGCGGAGAAAGCATATTCAGAAACAAACAACATTATCCACGCGGTTTTGGATAAAACAGTTTTCCTGCTGACACGTTGCTTCATTTCTTCGTCAGAGGTCAAAAGGCTGACGACAGAGCTGCTGGAAAAGGGCTGATCTCCCGCTCGGGTCCATAAGATGACTTTCAGTGAAACCCAGAATCCTTATCCCTTCTTATCTTGTTAGCTTGTGCTAGCTCAGGTGAACAAGCAGACAGCGAGTCGTTTGGGGTTACTATGTGGAGAGCTTACGCTCCCTAAATCTGCACTCAGTTTACCTATCTAGTGTTGTCCAAATAATCCGTCATGAACCAAAGCCTGCCCTGGTGATCATGTTTTCGGCTGACAGAGACGTTTTGGTTCCATGGCATATGGAGTTTGTGATGATGTCGAAATGTGATTTTCTTCACCACATTCATTGAGCAGATGTGTGAAAACTGCAGGTCTGGATGTGATCAGCTGAAAAAGGCAAAAGCGACCAAATATAACCTTAAAAACATCCCCTTCAAAGAACCTGAATTAAATGTTCTTGTACGGCGCTCAGGACGCCCCGCCATCAGTAAGGAACATTTGCGGTGTTGGTGTTAAGAGACTTGCACAAGGACACAGGATTATCTGTAGGGGTGTGTGGGGGTGTGTGTGGGGGGGGGTGAATCCAAGCGCCAATCCTTTGATTGAAGGACGACTCGTTCACTCTCAGTTGCCGAAGTTATTCAAGTTTTTCACCAACATTACAGAGCGAACACTTCACGATCACGTTATTAAATGCCTTTGATCAATGCTTCTTTTGGCTGAGCAGAGCCTGAACGCATCATGATCAAACTTCTCCTGGTACCTCAAACAGTTTAATTCAGTTGTATCAATTAACGACACATTTCCATGGTTTCTTGTCTACGTGTGGTCCAAGTTTCCACGTAAACGTTTGTTTTTTAAAACGTAACATTATCAGGGATCATATGGAAAGGCATGAATGAGGTCCAGATTATATATTCTTCAGAAGATCTGCATTCATCCGATAGTATTGGTGATTAACGCTTACATGCATTGATCCGCAGTTTAAGTGCGTTACGTGATCCGTAAACCGATCACGGATCGATAATGGTAAACTACGAGAGATTATTAAACCTCTCCAAAACAAACTGGACACAATTTAAAGGTGTTACAACTAAATCTGAACTTTTAAGCAAAACGGCCGAAACATTTCCATCCTCTCAAAGGTGAAGATTTGACACTTTTCATTGTTGAAGGTGGTAGGAAATGGAACATTTTTCAGTAATAGAAATATTGAGACACTGTTGTGTGTCTGTCACCGTAAACTCTGGGAGGTTGGAATTAAAATGTTTTACTGTGTGGATTTCAGATTAACAGATTAATTTATTATTAAGTTCCTTTGACATTGACGCTGATCAGAAGATAATTGATCATTTTAATCATTTTTAGAAACCGCAACAATAATAATAATAATAATCTGTTGTTCATGAATAAATAAATAGGATTTATGTATAGTTGATAGTTATCCATATTTACCTAAAAGTCGTATAGCAAGAACTAGATACCGTTCTTGATGTTGAAGGGCAGAAGATACTGCCGAGGTCCAGCTTCTATAAAACCGCTTACCTCGAGCAGGCGTGAGCATCGCGACAGCAAAAACACAGAATACTAGTCCTTTCATTTTGAGCGAGGCGCTTCTCCCGTGGACTGCAGCATGAGGTCTGCTGAGGAGACTGCAGATTGGATTAGCTCAGGAATAGACCTGCTATTTGTCCACACCCCACAGCTGCTGAAAGGCGGAAGGGAAGACGATCAAAGAACCAAAGTTTGGGGGGGACAATTTGCCAATTAGAGGATCCTGGGCGCTGGGATGTGCAGCCCGGCCACCAGAAAGATTTCATATTGCTTTTGACGTGAGGAAATTTCCTTTGGTTTTTCCGCTTGTTGTACCAGAAGTTACATTGAGAATGTTTCATATAATCGGTTTGTGTAGCTGGTGATTCACTCCCCCGCCCCCCCGTTTTCATGAAGTATAACACACGTGTGTTTTGGGGATTAAAAGCCCTACTTGGTGGTTAAAAACCTTTCCGCCAACTAGGCTCTTCTGACTTTCTTTTTTCTTTTAAAAGCTTCTTAACTTAACACCACTTCCAGCTCTAATACATATAAAAAAAAAAAAAATCTCTACATTTTCTGGTTGGTTGATCCTCAGTCCGTCACATCTTTTATATAAAGGAAATGCTGATCGTAGGTCGTCTCCTTCGCATGGAACCGAGTATCCTGAGTCAGCGCGGGGTTAAGCAGCTTACAGCCTCCCTTCATCTGTATGGATATGTATCTACCAACCACCCATTAATCTCTCGGGACGGGATTCAATTCAGTCATATTCTCAATGCAGCAAAAAGAAGTGCGTCGCTAAATTACGTAACACCACTGTTGTACAACTCAATGATTTATTGTATTCTCGGTTGCTGCCACATGTTGTGCAAGACAAAGACAAATCCCTCCGGTCAGTTTAATGTCAAAGCGGATCAATAACTAGGAAATCCAACGATATGCCATGAAGACACAGGAGCTAAATTAACTCTGGTACGGAGCTGAAAGGCTGAGTTGAGTGAAGCAGTGTGTTTCTCTGTCTACTCGTCCGTGAGCTTGAAGCAATGAGAGACTTGTCATAGCATTTTTTTTATTTTTTATTATTTTCTGTCAACTTTATAAAATCATTTTGGTGCGTTGTGGTTTGTTCCCAACCCCCTGGAGCCAGTGAATCGAATCCACCTCTAAAACAGTAGCCTTCATGAGGATAGAAGGCCGTATCGGGTTAAGAGGGGAGAACCTAATACAGCTCTGACATCCATGCAGATCTCTCCCTGTAGGTGTAAACCCATCACAGCATCTTCCACAGTGACGACTCGCGCACGTGTGAAAGAGAGAGCGCTGCTCTTCCCGGCGACGAGTGCGAAAGCTTCCAGCTTCACTGACGAGTCAGACACATTCTCCCCGTCTCGTACCTGCCTCTTGAAACAGCATAATGTACCTACCGAACCTTCAGCTGAGCGTGTGTGTGTGTGTGTGTGTGTGTGTGTGTGTGCAGAGTGTAAGTGAGAGATGGTGCTGTACTCGGTGAGGGAAACAAAGTGTTGCAAATTACTGAACGCTTGGGCCTCCGTCGTCGTCTGGATGGCAGCATCCCAGCATGAAGCCAGTGAAGGAGGAAATACTCTGTGCTCCTAATGGACCTATAAAACCCGTCAGACTGATGCCCCCCCCCCCCAACCTGAGTGTAATAAACCGGTGGGGGAGAAAAATGGTGGGCGAAAATCACCATCTTGCCTTCATTTAGCTTCGAGGGCGTTCCAACGCGCACGCTTTCGCTTAATTGCGCCCCGTTAACGTTCCTCTCCGCGTTGTTCTCGCTCTGTTTAAGCCAGAAAAATGAGATGGAGGACCGCGGGGCGTTTGAATAAAGCGTAGGAATCAGATGATGAAGTGAGAGGAGATGAAAGGTCGGGATGTGGGAGAGCGAGGCTTCAGTTACGCGACTCATTCAACCGCTTCGTCAGAAATAACTCGTCTAACCAGATCTGATCATTGATTTTTTTTTTCTTTCTTTCAGTCATTGCTCTTTTTCATTTTTCACCAATTCTTCAAGATCTCGCCTCACCCCGCTCGAGAGAAATGAACAGCTGACACTGTGAATGAAAAAACATTTTTTTAAAAATGAATCACAGTAAATCACTGAAACTTAAGTCCACACTTGCTTCTGTGCACAGCAAGCAGCTGGTATTTATAGCGTGGCCGTAGGTGTCCAATGAGAGGAGTGTGGCCTTGTGCGCTTCCCTTGTTTATACAAAGACAATTTCCTCGGATAAAGAGCAGATAACAGTATGTGTGAGATTAGATAAAGACGCATTTAAGACCTTATCTGGCTCATCCTCTTAACTGAGACCTCTTTCCGAAGCAAGGAAATGTAAATACTCCTCATGTATGTGTGTGTGAGAGAGAGAGGGGGGGGGGGTGGGGGAGTGTGTCCATCTCCCGCTTGCCTGCACCCAAGTAAGTTTTTTAGCAAATACCCCCCCCACGTCCAAATATGGTCAAAGAAGCGGTGGCTTTTGGGATTTCTGGCATGGGTGAGTTCAAAGAAAAGCAAGATGGCGAGCTGACATCAAACGGCCCAGCTCCGATCCTCCGAGCGTGGGTGAGTCAGAGAACGATGTCGGACAAAAACACCGCTCACAGGCGGTGACTCAGAGCCGCTGCGCCGCTCGCAGAGCACCCAAACACACCAACAAGCGTCTCATCCGACGGCCGAGCGACGCGTTGGCTCGGTGAAAACCTCCAAACGCGTCTCATCGTGCACCGTTTGATGAGACGGCAGAAGCCGAAAGCGCCGGGAGGCTTCAGGGTTGAGGAACGTCTGTCCGCGCGTTGAAGTTGATCTCACTGGAGTTGCAAGAGTCCGAGTGGACGGAGGAGTGGGAGACGGACGGGCGAGGGGAGGAGGGGTGAGGGATTGGCTCCTGATGGTGCAGAACTTGGGCCTGCAGAGTCGCCCCTCCTTCCTCCTCCTCCTCCTCATTTCTACCTCCTGCCTCCGAGGGGGCCGACTGCGAGGACGGGCCGCTGGCGTGGTGCGTGTTTCTGTGAGGTGAAGGAAGCGGAGGCCCACAGTTGTGGTCCGAGAGCGTGTGGGTCGGAGGAGGGGCCCAGGACCCCCGCTCCCCACCTTTACACTCCCACTGCTCCTGACAGCCGAAGCTGGGCAGCTCCTGCGAGCCCTCCCAGCCGTCTCCTCCCTTCAAATCCTCGAGGTCCTCCGGCGTCTCTCGCCGGAGGACCTCGAGGTCCCGGTTCTCGTACAGGAGCGTGGCGGCGCAGATGAAGATGAACAGGCCCACTCCCATGACCACGGGCCCGGCCAGTTTCATCCTCTCGACGTGGGTGCCGCCCCGGCCGCCCGCCGTGGGCTTCGGGGCGGGCGACACGTAGCCCGCCACCGCGACGGCCATCCCCACCAGGACCACCACCACGCCCAGCAGAAGCCACACGCCCGGGGCAGAGCGCAGGGGCAGCTTGTTCCGGAAGGCCTTGCCTCTCCACAGGTGGGCGGCCCACGCCGGGAGGCGGATAGGCGACGAGCGGGACGAGGCGGGGCTGCTGTGGTCGGGTCCGGCTGCCGTCATCCTCTGGCTTCACACTATAACCCGGGTGGGGGGGGGGGGGGGGGGGGGACACAAGGAGGAGCAGGAAGAGAAGAATTAGGAAACAAAGTTCCTACCAGAGGGAGAGGGGGGGGGGGGGGGGGGTAGTTTACTCTGCATTTCACACAACAGGAAATAGCTGCTTTAATAAGACATGTGGCTGAGCTAATGAGATGCCAGCTCCTCTGCAGCCCCTCCGGTGTCTCCGTGGAGCCACTCGGAGACTCTCCACGCTCTCCTGCGGCAGCGTCTCCGGACCCGGACCGGACGCGGACCGGACCGAGTCCCGGGGAGCACAAGACGACCGAGCCCTCGGTAGGTTTCCAGTTCGCAATTGCACCGCAGCTCATCAAAATAAGATAAGAAATGATATCATATAATTCTCACACACACACACACACACACACACACACACACACACACACACACACACACACACACACACACTACCCCCCAGAGGCGAGTGAGCACAACGCGATTCAACAGGACGCAAACCCGTGGTCGATGCGGCGCCGTCCTTGGCGTGCTTTTACGCATGCACCGTTACGTTGTGTTTAAATTCAAGATGCTCCACTGTCGCCGACTGCAGCAACTCACTGCCGGGCCACTTTAACGCGGTCCCCACCACGTCGGATCGGGGTACTTGCCTTGTTCTTGGGGTATATCCGGGGCAGAGACTGGCTCCTCGGCATCATCCAAAGGAACGACCCGGAGTTGCGTTATTCCTCCCACTCCTGCGCGTGTTCAATCCAGACTTTCAACGCATTCCGACAAACACCAAGACCTTTTTTTTCTTCTTCTTTTCTCCCTCTCCTTCCCCCCTTTCTTCTTTCTGTTGCCGCGTGAGCCGGTGTGAAGCGCAACAGCGAGCCCGAAACGAAGCTTTTGGAACGAAGACAAAAAAAGTGGTGCAAAGGCGCTCCCGCTGCGCGAGTCCTGCTGCTTGTGCGCCTCCGCAGACTGTGTTTAGATTATTCTCTGTGTGCGAGGAGAGGAGGGGAAAGGAGGGGAAAGGAGGGGGGGTCGTGGGAATCTGTGGCTGATGCAGGCCAGTCCCACGATGAGCCCAGTTATTCTTAGTGATCAGCAGCCACCAATTGCGAGCAGGAACACTGGAGCCCAGATGTAGAGGGAGGAAAACAGCAGGTCCCTGCGGATCCTTGTACTATACATGTGACTTTTGAGTGGGATTATACAGGCCTGCGATGTCATTGCATACTGTTGCAGGCAGCCATTATGGTTTTCTGTTAAACGACGTAGGGTATAAAAACTGATTGACAGAAGCTTCAATTTGACTCAAAGAGCCCCACCAGTCTTTTTATGGTACTGGGGAGGTCCAATCCAGACCGGAAGAAAAGATAGAGAGCTGCATAAACCAGAGATAAAACTGCCTTAAGTGATGCCACTGTAGTCCGAGTCGGTTGGGGCTGAAGAATACAAATTGAAGAGGAGGGATTCCTTCCTCTGCGTGTCTCCCCAACTGCCCCCGTCCACCTTGAGGAGTAAGAATTATAATCAAACTTCAAGAAACTCCACAAAGATCAAGTTTAAGAAAATGAGTATTTGTGTATATTGACATATTGATATAACAGACCTGTTATTCTGCTCTGTGAGCTATAATGTGGTGGAAGATTTTCTCAGTTGTATTTTCCGTTTATTTCTTGCAAGTTCTTGCAAGCTTCTTAACGTTTGAGCGCAACACAGAAGCGTTTATACATTGACAGGGTCAACACCTTGGTTGTGTTGTGCTATAGGAATGGAGACAGGCAACAAGGTCCCGGACCTGAAGGCTCACAAAGCACCTACAACATGTGTCTGATTGCATTTAGGACCGGGGGCCGGAGAAATTCACACCTTCTCCTTCCTCCTCCACGCAGCTGTGTTATGCAAAGACAAATGGGATCAAAGAGAAGAGGTGCTGAGATTCTGCTGCTCAGATGGTTCCCACACAGCTGGTGTCGTGGAACTTCCTCACAATTAAAATCATGATTAGCTTTGTACATTAATCTAATAAAACGTCTTGGCATCATTATATTTCACCATTACAATCCAGTGGCTTCTCCGTTAAACTGAGATATCGAATGGCGTCCCGGCCCTCGCGTGTCTACGACACCTTCGCTTGTCGCGGCGCTCTTTCCACCATCAAGTCTTCAGGATGGAGATTTTGTCAGCTGTCGACATCCGAGCACTCACTCATACGGGCATGTAGCCGGTCTTTCTCTTCTAAACAGGATGTGTTTTAGCTCGTTGTTTGTGTACTTTTCATACACGACCCTCTTGCCAAAGAGTCAAACCAGCATGCGGTGTGGGACAACTTAACGCCGGTTAGTGGTGTGCGTGTCTGTTGGCCCATGTGACTCCAGAAGAAGTTGTGCTACATTCTTATTCATGTGGACTTTCCTCTAATCTTTGCATTTTTGTGGCTAGTGTTCCATTTAACTCCTTCTCGGGGGGCTCAAACTGTTTAAATGAAACCAGGTGAGACGTTTACAGGAAGAATCGTAGACGAGATGTCCTACAGCCGCTCACATAAAATTGAATAATGTTTTTCGTAAACACCTCTAAAATGCATGTCTTTGCTGGAGGGAATGCGTTTCACACAACTGTAAAGAGGTAAACAAACAAGCGTCCCATCTTCAGATGAAGCGTGTGTGGTAAAGTGACGGAGGTTAAATGACGACAGCCGGCCGTGTACATCTCATTTATTTTCACCCATTCAAAAGCGTTCTGTCAAACAGCCGCGGCTCTCCTCAGATCCCGAAACAGCGTACCATTAACCTTTAAATTAGAATACATAAATAAAAGCTGTTTGCATATAAACATTTGCTGATGTACACATTCTAACTTGCTGAAGTACACACTGATTTACAAAGACACTGACAATGTTTGTCTTGTTTTTTTCTCAAAATCTTTGTATCAATTGAGGCTCGTATTTTTCAGTTACTGAGCCCTTCCCTGTGGACAGACGTCAAGCCTTTGCATAACCAAGCAGGAGTAAACTCTGTTAGGGACAGTTGTGTAGCTGTGTACTATTTACAATGTCAAAGAACCAAACCAAACGACATAAACAAAACCACTAATCGCTGTTTGTTTTAACATTCATGTGCCGTTCCCGGAGACACCAAAGCCGATAAGGAGCAGAGCTAGTTAGTCGTCTCCTTCCCCCTTAAGAGACTTCTTAATTTGACATTTAGCCCTTAGTCCTGCTTGTCAAACTATCGTCTGACCAGAAAAGCAACACACACACACACACACACACACACACACACACACACACACACACACACACACACACTCCAATTGAATTAAACGCTTGTGGAGTTTCCCCACTTTCTCCATCTAGAGGAGAGAGGCTGAACTACATAGTGCTTCTGTTCCTCTGGGTTTCACATTTTTTTTAAACTCTCGCCGACTCACGATTGTATTTTGCAGCTTTGAAAAAAGAAAAAAGAAGAAAGTATAAGTCTGACAAGTATAATGCAAACAAAGGACAACCAAACGTATTCAATCTGCTCTGGACTCAAGCACCCTTACCGCTCAAATAAAAAAAGGATATGCAACAGAATGCAACACAATCTAATAAACTGTACAATGTTGAGCGTTGAAGGTGCCTGATGTTCTTTTTTTAAATGAATCGGTAAACAAAAGCGATATAAGGTATCGTGTTCAACTCTCCCTCGGGTCAAGCAGCACTGTCTGTAGGGGAGGGAGGAGGGAGAGGGACGGATGCTCTCCTGTGATGACGTGTAGCTGCACCAGTGCGGAGCTCGACAGAAGAAACCGGCTCTGGCCAATTTGAACTCAAGCGCCCTCCAGCCGAGTGTTGATGAAACCGGAGCTGAGGGGCCGGCGAGGAGGCAGTGATTCCTCGTCACGTCTTTAGTCTTACTCTTCGTCTGCATTCTTCAACATAAGGATGGAGTTGTAGATCTTCAGGGCGGGTCCTAATTTGATGGACAGGATCTTGACGATGTCCCCTTGGGTGAGCAGCAGGAAGGCCTCGCCGTCTATTTGCTAAACAGAAAGCAGGACACATTTGCTCTGTGTTACTGTGGTTGGACCGACTAAAACAGATTATTTTTCTTTTAACTGAACTTGATCCATGTAGAGTACTGCAGGGGTGAATTAATCGAGGAAGTTAGCATCACACTGGTCACCTCAAGAAGAAAACCATGGGATTTTACACTGGATTATTCTAGAAATTAAAGTCAAATGTTCACAATTCTTCCACCACATTTGTGATTTTTTTAAGCTTTACTGACATCGGCAGAAGTAAAGAGCCAACTACACCACGGTTGCACGAGTGCGAGGAAACGCATTGACGCTATGAAGGCGGACTAGTTGGGGTGATAACGTTTTGGGAGTCTCAAACAAACTGGTTTTGGGCTCCACCAAATCCAGAGAGGTGTCAAGACTCTAAACGTTTATTTCTAAACGCTTCACTGTCTTCCCCAGCTACTTGCTAACTGTGTCTGTGAGTTTTATATTATATATAATTTTTTTTCCCCCACAGACTACAGAGTTGGCAGTAATACATAGACATAGAATTTAAGTCAACGCCAATGCATTGATTTGTTGACTCATGGATAACATGTCACGCTTACAAAACCAAAACAATAAAAAAATATTTTACAACTTACAAGATTCATTATGCATTCAAAAAATTATCTTACAACATTTTCAATTGAACTAATCATAATTTGAATCTCGAGTGGTGCGAGTTTGTCGACGTCTAAATAGGAATGAAGTGCTTACCTCGGTTTTAAACGTAGCAGCGTGTTCTTTACATCCTGGAAGGCCTTTGACAAAAGTGGCCACCTGGTGAGAAAATACAACAACTTACAGCTAGAAGCAACAGACGGGCTGTCGAGCACAAGATGTTTAATCTACAAATAAAAGTGGTCTCGTGTACGCCTTCATTAAAACAGCAGGCAGAAAGAGAAGCTCTCCTTGAACATTCATGCACAGTTGATGTGTGTCTCCATGTTGGAGGCGTTTCATGTGCTGGCGCGGTGTGAGCGCGTAAGCATGTCTGACCTCCTCTGCGCTCCAAGTGGCCACTCGCTTGGCAGTCAGCCCCAGGACCTCAGGCAGCAGCTGGCAATGTTTGTCCCAGCAGAGAGACACCCGGTGGGGGGGGGAGGCGGAGAGGCCAGGGGAAAACACGGACTCGTGGAGGGCCTGCTGGAGGGAGATGGCGTCTGGAGAGGCTGGGGAGAGGGGAGGGAACGCTGGCAGTCAGTGGGTGTGAGGTGAGGATTTATGTGCTTCGTCGTGTGGCTTCTACACACACGCACCTTTGCCATCGTCAATCTCCTCTTTGACGTAGTGCATTTTCAGGTATTTGGGAACTGGAGCGGTCCTGGAGAGACAGACACGTTAGAAGTCCCTCTTTCATACAGGAGGACAACTTCTGCAATGAACTGCAGCAGCCCAGCTGGGCGCGATGCTTTCAGACTGTACCGTTTAGGCCTCGTCCCGTTGTGACTCTGCTCACTGGCTCCGCCCGGTGGCTCGGGCTGAGTGTTACGTGCTAAACGCTCAGCCTCCACTGTCAACGGTTTCCTAGCAACACAGACAATCCGCTTAGATACAAAGTAATGGACAGAGGTGCAAGAGAAACAGAGAAGGGTGTGCCTTTGGGAGTGCTGGTGACTTTAAGATATAAAATATGGAAGTTGTGGACGGACTCATTGTTCAAAACAAACCGTAGAAAGAGAATGTGAAGAGGTCAGATAACATGTTGTCGTTTAACATCAAGCCCCAGCCTGTCCTGACGCTAACGCGGGTGAATTAGCCGTGCGGTGGTATTGGCCTGATCGGGGCAGACGGCCACCGTCATTGTAACCATCTTTTTTTGTGGAGATATTATAAGATCTGCTGGTTTTCTCTTGCTAGTCATATTATTCAGAAGAAGAGAGGTTCTTTATCATCCTGCTCGCAAACGTACATGACCTTGTGCGTCTTAGCAACTGGCTTTGTGCAGAGGAGTCAGAAAATGTAAAGTGGAGGTTAAACGTTCATGTTGTCATTGTGTAATTGCTCAACCTGCATCACTGAGTTTTTTTTTTTCTTACACTGAGATCCAAAGGAAGTCCACAGTCTCTACAGAGTGAAAAGTCCTTTTTTGAGCTAGACCACTTTACCTCACTCTTAACAGGGACCTTTGCTACTGAACATATGCTGCTGCCTGATAAAAGACAAAGTTTCCTTATGTTACCTGTTCAGAAACAAAAAGAAAACTGAAAACATTACTTTAAAATAAAAGCGTGCAATCTTTGCTCAGCACTAGTAAAAAACGTAAAATACTGTTCGGACCTAGAACTAGAGATCAAATGCCGCCCTCTATTTGTTTGGAGCGTCTGTCCAGACATTACACAGTTGTTGAGTGACAGCCACACACCTGCTGTGAGAGTCTTCAGCTCCTTCCGCCTGCTCTGGCGCTGAGGTGGTCGGTGTTGCGGTGTTGGTACTAGGGTCGGGGCGGCGCCCGCGTGGATGAGGTCCACTGAGGGCGAGGGGCCGTTCTCCACTGAGGCGGTCTGGCAGCAAGCCCTCCTTGTTCAGATTGGTCTCCGAATAGGGACAGCTCACTTGACTGCACACACGAAAGACACGGAAACTTTACCGAGGCCTACAACTCACCGCTGCATTGTACATTTGATGCTCTGCAATTTAGCAGGTTACAACAAATTGGAATACAAAAACCGCAAGAAATCATCTACGAGACTCAAAACTCCCACACAAGCAACACGTCACACTGGACAGACCCACACAAGTATAATTGACCTTTAAGAATACAGAGACTTTTTATTCTCCTCGTGTACATATACGGTAACCAAATATTGTTCAAGTGAGACTTAGCTATCCATGTGTCAGACACAGCATAATATATAAATTATAATAAATAAAAATAAAGTTCACAGAAAATGAATTAAGAATATGTAAGATATTAAAATGAAAGAATACAAAATAAATTCAATACAAAGAAAGCCACACAAGATCAAGATTGAAAAACAATTGGGACCACAAAAAACTAACGTGTAGTGGGTCCCGTAGCGAGGACCTCTGATGTGGCCGACCCCGTTGCATCCTCGGGTAGGACAACCTTGACCCGGGGCAGTCACTAAATCACTGGAACCTGAAATATACATAAAACACACACAGGAGGGTTCTTAAAACTATGCAAATATTTGCATTAAGACCATTAATGATTGATATAAATCTCTGCAAGTTAACTGTCAATTTACAGTCAACAATTTGGAACGTTCTCCTAACAAACCTTGACTGACCTCTCTGAATATCGGGCAGGACAGCCAGGAAGAGTGTGTGAGTGTGTCTCACCGTTAGGGTATTGTAGCGGGTGTCCTGTTTTCTGACACCAGCCTACAGGGTGCAAATCCGGGTAGTCGGTCTCCACCCAATAGTCATATTCTGAGCTCCAGCCATCAAAATGAATCTAGGTGAAAATGGTGAAAGTTAGACGGAAGCAGCACCCGGAACATGTTTAATTACATCCAGAGAAGGAGACCCGATGTACCTTCAGTCGGTGGTCCTCTGTGTCCGCTATTGTTGCAACACGGATGAGCATGGGGTTTCTCTTATCCACAGCTTCCACTTTCATCCCGATCTGGAAGCCATGTGGAGGTCGCTGCAAACACACAGCGCAACAACGATCACATAAATAGACCTACATCTCCTGTCATACATATTATAAATCTGTGTGTGTGTGTGTGTGTGTGTGTGTGTGTAAGAGATTCATACTGGTTTAAAAGCACGAGCAGGAGCCGCCTGTGTGCCTGTTTCCTCCAGGTATTTCTCCCACGAGAAGCTCTTGGGTTGCTTGTATTCTGAGGAGAGGGAATCAGATCTATTAGTTCAAGTCTTTTGTCACATGCTGTGTGGATCAAAAGATCATAACATTCCTGAGATCCACAGGAACTGACAGCAGCATGCGTTTCACCATTATTATATATTTAATTGGCTTAGGTTATCTCATTAACAACAGTTAATTTGTCATTACAATTTGTCATTAATTTCTTACAGTATTTGAGAGGTATGACAAATGTGTAAAACACTTTTTAAGAAAATACCAGGTAAACAATAATTTCATCAGCAGAAACTACATTTTTATGCGCATTGATTTTTGATAATATTAGATTCTGCGTTCTCTAAAGTATAATAAAATAGTGTATACTGACCCACGTGTGTCTTGGTCTGTGTCTTACCAGCTGGAGTAGTCAGAGTAAGCTCAGCATCTTCACAGTATCCCACAGGATGGATGTACGGGCTGCTAGCGTCACACCTTGACAAAGACAACTACTGGTAAACAAGCACACAATAACAACCTTTACACTAAATCTCTGCAGATCATAACTCGTTATGAATATTTGTCTTTCTTCCAGACCTTGTGTTACATTTTTCAAAAGTACCAAGACCCTGTCAAATTCTTTCCATAATTAAAGTTCATAGGCACTTTCTTGATGTTGTAAACAGATTGACCTCTGGAAGCAGTGGGTTAATCTGTCATAACCTTCAGTCTTAAACCAGGCTCTTACCAATAATCATATGTATCATCCCAGTTGTCAAAATGAATGAGCAGCCGGTTGTCAACAACAGCAGCAATGGTTGCGACACAGACCAAAGACGGGTTCTTTCTATCAATCGCCTCCAGCTTCATCCCAGCTCGAAACCCAGACGGAGTCACCGACTGAAATAGAACAAAATAAAACAAATACAAACCCTTAATCTAGGTACATAGATACTGGCTTTAGTGTATACCGGTTTGGAGTGCTTAATACTTACTGTGTTGAGACTCTTGAAAAGGTGTTTTGGGGCCAGCTGACCCCTACAGTTCTTCACGTACATGCTCCAATTAAACTCTCCATCCTTACAACCTACAAAACAAACACACTTAGAAGGTGTGTTCATAAAAGCACGGATAGATGTCAGTTTGTGCGTGCGTGTGTGTGTGTGGGACACTACCTTTAGGTAACAATAACTTGTGCCCATTCTTCTCGCACCAGCCGGCAGGTTTCATATCCCAAGAGTCTGCGTTGGCCCAGAAGTCGTAGCATTCTGGGTAACCATCAAAGTGGAGCCTCACCCTATAGCCTTGTATCTAAGAGAAAAAGGGACAGTCAAATACTAGTCTCTAGACCAGCCACACACAACTATTAGCACACGTACCTCTGCAACAGATAGAACACAGAACAGGGAGGGGTGCGACGGGTCCAGCCCCTCCAGCTTCATTCCCACTTTAAAACTGTTCCTGCTTTGAGGAAGTGACTGGTGCTGCAAGACAAATGAGCACAGTCTGAGACCTAATACACAAGACCATCTTCTTATACTTTTTGTATAAGCAGCTCTGAGGTGGGTCAGCATAAATGGAGGAGGGGGTGTGTGTATACCTCTTTGAATAGTTTAGCAGGAGCAGCGATGGCCTTTTCCTCCTCTAAATAAGAAGGCCAGCTCCACGCCCGTTTCTTATTGGCTGGGCCGGTCACTGAGGGTTGGAAACATTACTATTACGGACAGTGGCTGGTGCATGAGGACCATCATCACATTCAGGAAAAGCAAACACAGCTCCTCCACAGTTTTAATTGAATCCAGTACAATAAAGATAATTTACTTTTTAAATGCATACATAACATTTGAAAATAAAAATGAATACATCAGAGGACAATCTTCAAGTGGTTTAATTAAATTGTGTTGTATATTGTGAGCATGTTAATGCCTTGAAATGAGTTAACCGTGTCAATCATTTGAAGATTTGGAAACAAGGCAGGAAATATCTCCCTCCATCCTTCCCCTCTACAGTGGCAAAAGCGTAACCTTACCCAGTTTGGCAATTTTGGCTCCTCTCCTCCCTTTGGCTGTCTTGGCCTTTTCCTATGAAAGGTTAAGTAAAATAATTCAAAATCAGGCCATACAAGCCATACTTTATCCTTTCTCAACCTAAATATGAAAAGATCCAATTATAAGTTGTAATTTGATACTTTGTGGCAAGATCTATCAAAGAAAGACATCCGTGAACACTTGGCTGGCCTGGACGCTTTGAAAGAGAACTAAATATATGCTCCCTACCTCTGGTTCCTCTTGGTTGTCTTCCTCTTCATCCCCAGAATCCATATACATCTTCCTCTTTTTGCGCACACGTTTACCCAGCCTTTCACCATCAGCTGCTTGACTCTCCCTTGCTTCTCCCGGGGACGATCTGCCGCTGGAGGGCTGAGCACAAACGGAGCTACAGAACTTGCCCTGGAAGAGGGCACCCGGGGGGACACGGCCATCACAGGCCCGGCACCTTGACAGCTCCCCATTTTGAGCCGCGTCTGCGTTAGAGCCTACCTCTACACTGGGGCCGACCTCCACACTGGGGCCCTCCACACTAGGTCCCTCTTCTAAAGACAGAAGCACAGGACCAGGAACTAGAGGACAAAGTAGAGAGGAGGGCTGAAAATGACGTCTGGAGCATCAAAAGTAAACACTGCCGTCCTTTACAATAAAAGTGTGTACGATTTACAAATGTGCTGTCATACCTTTACTTTGAGATGATCCTGGCTGACTCTGATTGGCTGGAGCTGGAGCTGTGGCTTTGCTAGTCTGTGATTGTCCCTCTGGTGGAGGTGTAGGAGTGTGAGACTGTGCTGGGTCCAACGTCTCAGGCTCGGCCTTCTGTCCTTTGGCCTCTAGGTCTGTGACGATTTCCAGAGTCCCGAACTCTGTCATGCGAAACTGAAAGACACAAGTCAGGAGACAGAAATGCTCATTACTGTGTGCCACAGGAAATTGTTACTCCTAATTAATCTTGTGTCATGGAGAATGCAGTTAGCAGCTTATACATTAGTATAAGTCACATTCATTTTCTTTTTTCATCTTTCTTTTTTTTTTTTAAGTTGAACACAACAGAAAACCTTGCTCTTTCAAATCTGTGCGTGAACAGAGACGTGTGGACAAACATTTCCACAATCAGAAATGATAATTAACATGAACGAATCTCCTTTTGTACCCTGATGTCACTTCCCGGCAGCGTGGCAATACCGTCCTTCCAGTCCAGAGCCCCCATCATATCGAACTCAGCGCCCTGGGAGGGGCCGTCCCTTGGAGGAGTGTCGGTCATTCCAACTCCTATGATATCCCCAACCTGCATGGAAACAATGACAGTTACTTTAAAGACACAAAAACCTTACAGAGGAGAATATGTAAAGGCGGATGCAAATTTAAATGTTCAAGCTACATCTCTAATTTAAATTATGACATTGTTCTCTGTCTATTGTGCTGACTATGCTTGATTATTACAGTGAAACTTCCCCCTCCCAACCCCCCATATATGGTTTTGCCTACAACGTGGTCCCAACGACAAACCCAGTCTACTCGCACTTGTAAACAACATTACCGAACTCCGCCGCTAGATGGCGACCGTGTGCTGGCTCGCAGCATACACCATGCACTTCGATTTCAGACAAAACAGTCAATAATAATACTGTTTTGCTGGTCATCTAACGGGCGTATACGTGCACAAACGGTCCCAACGGGATGAACCGTCATCGGGACCATTGACAAACACGAGGAAAGACGCCTCAACTTGAAGTTAACCACACAAGTTTATATTTTGCTTGTTTTAACAGTATCTCCTAAAACCGGCGTTTTGCCTTGCCATAAACGCGTGAGAGGGCCATTCGATCATCCGTTTCATAGAGAACACGGTTTCCTGGACTCACTGGCCGAACTTAAAAGCGTTTTAATCCGACGAATATTACGATATAACGTTTTAGTCTTGACGCATGTTCAACACGGAATAAAGGGGGATATTTTCCGTTTGCATGGTGGCCGTAACCACGCGAGAAGTAAACAGCAGCCCGGGCTCATGGATGTGGATTTAGTTTGACTTTGCACGCGATATGTCAATTTTATTCTAGCCATAAATAAAGTGCACGTAGGAGCGCCCATGATTAGCATTCGTCTTATACAAAATGGCGGAGCCTAGGAAGAGGCCACCAACACGTTTAAACTATTTAAATTACTCAAGTTACCCATTTAAACAAATCATGCGACTCCGCTAGACGTCGAACAGGGCCACACGCTTGCGGTGTAATTTCCCGACTTTGTGTTTTCCGTCACTCGAGTTATTTTCTTCACTTTCCCCTTGTCACGGAATGTCAGCCCGGGTTGCTAGCTAGCGCTGACAGGGAGCTAACAGCCAGCTAGCTCCACTCCGTTCAACTGAGCCGAGGTTCTGCTAAAGGGGGGCTAGCCGTAGCATTGCGACTGGATGCAGCCAGCTAAGGACAATCTGTAATAAATAAGTTTCCCGGTTAATAACAATAGGAAAACGCATTTGACAAGACCCCAATATTTCGCACAGTTCCCCCAAAACACTTACACTCGCGGCGCGCTGTTGTTACCGGCTTCAACAATGTTGCTTGATTAATTTCTTCAATAGAAACTTGAAAAAAACCCGATTTATTTTCGCCGTTTTAAATCAGAGTGGAAATAATTTAAACGGGCGATAATTAGCCAGGCGACGGCGGCTTTTTCCCCCCAAATTGTGCCCCTGTTAACGGCAATAAATGAGTATTAACGGCCGTATTGTTTAGAAATGTGGAACTCACCTCGTTTCTGTTTTAACTCTTATTTAGAGCTGGATGGAGGGATGCGCATGCGTGAAAGATGCGCTGCCTGACAACTTTGGGTCTCGGAAAAGTTCGGTTTACTATCGGCGGTCAATACCCGGCCCGTTTACACTCATAAATCCGCTCGGTGCCGACGGGGCGAAGTGGCACCGACAGACCGGAGCTCGCGTCCCCGGTTCGCTCACAAGTATTTGTTTATTCTGAGCACCGGGGGAGCGCAGCGGGCCCGCAGTGTGTTTCTCCCGTGACCGTTGAGGAGCGGTTGGTTCCCCTTGTTGACCAACGGGCGGTTTTTCTCCCCCCCAATAAAAAGCAACGTTAAACCCCGCACTCCCCTCCCGACTGATCAATTACTCAACTGCGTGTCACATTTCGACGCGATTATCAGTTTGTACGCGCAGTTGCTAACTGTGGGATTAAATAACTCAGGCCTGTAAAATCATCCGAAAAGAAAGGAAAAAGAACCCTAACCCGAAACACGCCGCTGCGGGACTGATTTCGGCATTAAAATAAACCCTCTTCACGTCTGCAGGTTTGTGCGAGTGCGATCTTGACAGAACGGCGAACGTTGAATGAAGTCGGACAGGACGGTCGAGTTTAGCCCAATCAAACCTGCACGAAACACTCCGTTTAAAAACGCTTCTTTCGCACTTTTGAAGGAAATTCAACATCCGAGCTGCCAGTGTATCGGACTGCATGCAGTCACCTCCGCTGGCATCCGTGGATGTGTGTGCTTTGTGGCTTTATTGTGACAGCTGATTGCACGTAACAGCTACCAGGGTGCGCGTATTCATTCCTGGTGTTTTCAGATCGATATGAAGTACATGCCGAGTTGCCAATAGTCCAAACACTCGTGTTGAACCGCATCATCTCAAGCTGTTTTACTGTATTCAATCCCTCCCACGTAGGGGCGGTTATGGTTTCTCCGGTATAATAAAGCTACTGATTTATATTTTGTGTCATCCGTTTCCGTTCACTTTTGATTAAATGTCTCCACGCTAATCGCCGTCGCATCCGTGGGCGCGCGTCCAGCAGCTAACGCTAACAGGTCCACAAGAGAAGTATTTATTTCAGTCAACAAAGGCCCGAGACGAGGTGAGACGAGTCCAGTTGGACGGCGCGCAGCGGCGGCGGCGCGCCGTCCCACGTCTCACCGCCAGGTGGCACAATGAGTCCACTCCCCCCCCTCCCTCCTCCCAAAAAAGAAGAAATAAGAAAGAAGGTTTTAACGCGCTCGCGCATCGTTCTGCAGCCTACAATTTATTCTCATGTATTTTCTTCAAACATAACAGGTACGAACCATGAGATGGCATTCAAAGGCAAAGTGGTCGACTCGAAGGTGAGGGGACATTTTTAACAATAAGCCCTGCGGGGAACCGTCCGCCCGTCGCGGTCGACCGATTATGCAAATCACGTGTGATTAAATAATAAAGAGACTGTGCCGGAGACTGTGTGAACGTGCCGGGTCTGTTTTTAGCCGGCGTGGTATACAGATGATAATCCGCAGCCTTTGCACGTAGGACTGCTGACTGGATTTGGGTCGCTGTTCACGCGGATGCGGTACATTGTGATAATATTCGGGTTTCTGTCCCGCAGACCGTCCTCTCCAACCTGCTGCTGTGTCTGCTGATATTTTACGCTCTTTTCTACATGATTGGGAGCGTGTGCTTCGGTGCCTTCAGGTGAGAATGTCCCTAACGCGCATGCGCACGGGCGGTATGCGTTTTACTGGCTTTGTGCACGAAAATTTCACGCGTAGTAGCTGCGGTCTGAACATGTAGACATGCACAGAAAGCAGGAAACCATGAGGCCCAGTAGGGTTGAAACAGTTGACTGTGGGCCCCATAGTGCCCTAATTTATTTATGGATCCACCTTTGGCTCATGGGAAATGTACAGTATTTACTTTATCCGCACAACGTGGATATATCTGGAGCATTTGTTTAGCGGCTGCTAACATACAATGCTGAAAATGAAGACACTGCAGTGATTTCATTGACTCTCTTCCAATGTATGACAACAGTCTCTTATTGGACATTTAATCCAGTTCTAACTTCTCATTTAGGTTGGATCACTTTGACGGATTGATTCCGTTTGACTTTAAGACCAATCTTGCTGAATCCAACTCCAAATACTTGGGTGAGCATCCTAAATAATACAGTCAATCTAATCAACAATAGGCATTGACTTGTATAGCGAGCAACTTTTGTCATTTTTGTTCCGCTGTGTGTCTTCCTCAGTGAACCTGCTGTCCTTGGAGCTCACCTACTTTTGCAGCGGCCTTTTTTTTGCTGCAGTGGTGAAGAGGAGGGTGTGGGACTACGCCCTCACGGTCACACTTCTGCATGTTCTGATCACCAGTCTAGGTGAGCAGAAATCCAAACACTGCATCATCCCGGGCACACAAATAGATTATTGTGTTATTTGTTTCTGTGTTGCAGTTATGTGGGAGTTTCCCACGGTGTGGCAGTGGTGGCTGGCTTTAGGTAACAAAAACATACCTGGCAACTTATCTAAGAGTTCATTTTTTTTAAAGGTTCTTTTGTTGTTCCGTAGGTAGCGGCTTGTTTCTGATGATATGCAACGGTCAGCTGATCGCTTACTTCACCTGCCAGAGTGACCAGAGCTTCGTCTCCTTCAGTATCTACTGACAGAGAGCCGCACTGTGTAGGAAATGTTTCTAAGACCGGTCCTGTGAAGTGATGTGAAAAGGATCCGACCGGGTCATCTCGTCCTGGAGACACCCACTTGGTTCTCACCATTGATGGTTTTGTGTTGGTCACTATAAAAACAGACTCCTCACCATCACACATCAGGCTGAACTGGTTTCAATCTGTGTTTCAGTGTTTGGTTTTATGTAAATGCCACAAACTGATGTTCTCTGGATATTTCTCGTGAGGCACAATGCCGCTGTTACTGAGCAGGTTTTACAGCAGCCTGTAAAGTATTTTTCTTTTGTAAGCTGTGAATGTAAAACAGAACAAAAAAGTTGCAATGTTTGTAAGTTTGTTTTAAAATAAAGCTGCTCCAGATTATTTCTCATCAATAAACTGATGCTGAAAATAACTTATTACATAAAATATACTGTAACTTCATGAGAACTACAGTAAAAGAATTTGCTGGCTGAAGTGATTAAAAATAGACTTTTATGAAATAAAAAAACAAATATTAACTAACATGCTACCTGAGGATTCGGTGAAACCGGCTCTGCTGCCAACATCTCCATGAAGTTGGATCCTGGAAATTCCTTGCTGGTCGGGCCCGCCAGACACCGCTCATTCACAGAGGCACAGACTGCAGCCGGAACTCTGGGTGGATGCAGCAGATGTCACAGGGGCCGGTCCGAGGAGTCGAAAGAAATAAACACACTCCAGTACACAACAAACAATAAATGCCCTCCATCCATTTCTAAATCACTCCTACCGCTTCCTCCTCCTGCCATGGCCATTTCTTCAGGGTATAAAGCAGCCCTGGTTTCAGGAAATTACCCGTTCCTGAAGGTAGTAGAAAAGCTGTCAGGAAACCAATAACTTAATCTTTAAAACAAAATGATGTATGTAGGATTAAGAATTTGCTATGTTTTCAACTTTTAAATGGGCAAAGGGAGACGATCCTTGTATTTGCCCATTTGCCCAAGTGTATTCACTTGCTAGAGAATTAAGGAATAAAAGATTTTGGTTGCAGGATGGTGACCACACATTTAAGCAAAGGAAACAAGGTAAATTTCCTTGATAAATGCAACTACTCAAATCTGGCCTATTTGTTGGCATCAGTTGGTGAAATTTCTTACTGTAAGATGTCTGTTTTCACTGAGCAGAGAAAGACACAGGGAGAGAAAGGGCAGGAAGTCAGATTAAGCTCTACCTCTGTCTGCCTTTCTTAAAAACAACAGCTCTGTACTCACCACGGCCTCTCTCATCCTCTCTTCTCAGCCGGCTGTCTCTCTGCTGGGGTTTCTGGGTCTCGGGTGGTCAAAAACAGTAGCTAAAATGCGTGTTTGCATTTTTTTTTAATTCCAATCCAAACTAAAAAAGTATTTTACAATTGTGTGTATTTCATTTTGGCTGAACTGCTGACTGGGAATACGTTTGCGTAGGAAGTCCCTGAAGCCAACTTTATCGCCTTGAGCACAGCCGTAAACCAAGCAGAGAGTAACCGTAGCTTATGTCCCTTACATAAGAGTAAACACATGTAACGGTATTTAGCAAAGCATTTAGCTGCTCACTACCTACTTTAGGGAAGTGATGGGACTGTTATCAGGAATTCTATTACGAATAGCAGACGTTATGTTTTTGACTTAAACTTCACTTTAATAATACAGTATTCATAATTCGGATGGCTGCTTGCTTTAGGGACCTCTGACGTAGCAGTCGCAGCGTACCAGCAGCAATGCTGCGTTCAAGTGCCCTCGGAGATTTCATAATCGTGACGCATGCGCACATGGTCGACTTAAAGTAAAATAAACGTTTGTTTTTGCCGTAGGTCGTAGCTTTGGACTTAGACTAAAGCCATTAATTAGAGGGTCTCATTTGAATGTGGGGAAAATATGAATCTGCCTATATTTAAATAAACATGTACAACATAGTCCACATCCACTTGAAATAAGCCCACAGCTGGCTCTGCCTTGTACCTTGTACCCAATCCATTGTTGGATGAAGACAATTGATTTTGAGCATTCTTTCTTTTTTTCTTCTGTAGGCCTCTTCATTTGTCACACTTGAAAAGCGGGAGCAATGCAAACCACCAGTAAGTCTGTGAGTGGACGGCAACACTGATATAGTCTACTAGATAAATGTGCATGATAGCTGAAATCGAGAAAAAGAAGAGAGAAAGAAAACGCCCAACACACATTATTTTAAGCATGACCAGAGATTTGTAGCACGTGCTTTTATTTTGAACCTATGAGGGTAGTCAATGGGTCATGGAAACTACACTACATGTGGCAAGCCGTGACAGCATTCCAGCACATGACAGCTCAGTGTTTGTCTTTCTCTGTGACTGCTGCACACCTAATAAAAATATTACAGACCCAGTTTCATACGTGTGATATGTGACATAACGCTAGCAGCATCTCTCATAGTGTCTGGCTGTTCTCTAATTAGAAAATAGAGAGAAACTGTCTTCAGTCTGGTAGTAAATAATTCTTGAGAGACAGACAGAGAGGTTCAGCCCTCTCTTCCATCGCCAAAAGAGAAATTAAATATAAATATTGTACTCTTTCAGGAGATGAAATTGGCCTTTATCAGAATGGATTAACAGGAATGATTGTCACATGATTTGAGCAACGGATGAGCATGAGATCAGAAGAAGAGAGTGTGAATCAGATCAACTGGACATAAAGTATAGATGTGAAATGACATCAAGTTTGTGAATGTGTCTGTTTCTAAATTTGGAGCTGCATGGGTTCTGAGTCGGTACACGGTGTGTCTTGGTTACTGTGGCGGAAACCTGATCCCTGAACAGCAGCGGAGGGGAGGTCCCTTTCTGTTGCACTGCCAGCTTCCCCCCGCCACCCCAAATTAAACCGGTCTCTGCTGACTGACTGATTACAGTCTGACTCCCATTGTCATCATCATCACCCCAACGGCATCGGAACTACAGCTCTGGCTGGTTTTTGCTTCTTCCGGCCTGCAACAGGTGACACTGAGCACATTGCCTGCATATTTAAATTCTAACACCCTTCCCACAAGAGGTTCAGCGGATCAGGAAGGCACCAGAAAGAACAGGCTCTCTGCTTCAGTCTGCGGAATTACTAAAACCGTATCATGGTGTTGTCTCAATTACAGCTTTAGGATCATCAGCGTTCTTCCAGCATTCAATATCTCGTATGAGAATTAATCTTTTAATCGTCATTCTCTTTTTTTTAAATTGTGTCTGTCACGTCTGTTACTCATTGACGGGTCCACACGGAGATCTGGTCGTAATATCAGCTGCAGGTTTATTGTTCAATTGTATCATATCAAAATGTCTGTCTATCAAACCGGGGGTTTGTGGTCAGTGAGAAAGAGGCGGTTGATGCAAGTTTACACTCAAACCAACTCACTGTGTCAAAATACAGTAAACAAAACAAACAGTGGACTGTGCAGATTAGCAAAGTCGGTTGTCAAAGCAGTGCACATGAGTGTACGTGCATGCGCGCGTGCGCTGTGGAAGTTGCATAACCAAACATTAAAGACACAGGTTGGATGTTGTAGCGTGTGAGAGAGGAAGTGAGCACAGGAGCCAGCGTTTAAAACTCAAGGGCCGAGGTGATTCTATTGAAGGTACAACTGCCGACAGCCAACTGCCGGCTCAGATTCACCAGGACACTATTTTACACTTACTTAGATAAAGATTCTGAAAACTCCATCCACAACTTAGTTTTTATTATTCCAATTCCAATTTAGGCATAACCGTGCATTAGGGGCCTAAATACAATAAATAATGTTCATCAATGCCTTCGGCGTGTTGCTTTTAGTGTGTTACGCCTAACAGTAGTTATTGGGTGTTATAAGGCGGATTGGCGGAACAGTACATTTTTCATGTTGAACACAGCAACACTTTTTTTCCCCTGTAGATGGAGACAAGAGAGCAGAATATCGCTTGTGGTGGAATTATAATTTATTTGTTTTCCGTAGGAATTTGTATCTTTAAGTAAAAAGACAAAAACAAGGTTACCATCAACCTTCTGTCAAGGGAAGGTGTTTTTTCAATCACATCATTTAGCACATGAGAAGGCAATATTTCCCCTTTTATAAATATTTCTCGATGGCATCTCTTGGTGAACTAAAGCAGGAGCACACCTATTTAATCATTTAATGGTTAATGATGAAGCTGAATTAGTTCATGATAATTGAATAATGCTCAATTAGTCCAGCATCTCAATTGTATCTAGTTTAACATCCTAATATATTGAAGATCTTAGGGATCACAGGTAGATAAATTGGAAGGCATCCCCTTGGTCTGCGAGAACATGCAGGGCATTTGTTTTCCTTTATAAAATATACGGTGTAGGAAATGAATGAGGGAAATAATAGTTACTTTCATCTCCGTCTTTGAGTAACACAAATAAAGCAGGTGTAAACATTGTACAATAAAGTAAAAATGACAAAAATGATAAAAGGAAAATAACAGCAATATTTTTTAAAGTACGTTTACTGTACAAGTTTGAGATAATTGTCGTTTTCTTGAGTATTTTCTTTCAATATCACGTTCTACTTCCACTACAAACCTTTTACTCCACCAATCATTACACAAATTGAATCATAATTACTTAGTGATATGTTAGCATACACAAAAAATATAATGTTAATATCGATTTAAAAACCCAAGGATATCAACAGTTTAATGTACAGATCAACCAAGTTCAAAGAAATAGAAAATTAATAGGCACCGGTTACTGTCTTATTATTTGTGGAAAAATGACAAACTTTTCATACTTTACGATAATTGTGAATCTGCTCTTTACCCTCTAACTACGCCTATACATTCAAATGTATCCTTAATAATTTTGGGGTTTCGCATTATGAAGGTTTCATTTTTACATCTGGGAAATTGTTGTGGCCATTTCGCTAGGCTTTTCCTGTTGACTAATGACTAAAGTAGTACACTAAGTAAAAAAGGCTTGTTTTTCAGTATTCTACACCTTAACCCCATAAAACAAAAATTTCCCAGACACTTATTTGGGTAACATTGTCAGCGCAGGACTCTTACCTGAGTTATTTAAATGTGTAATTTGTATTGGCGTGATGACTTTTGCTCCGCATACTTCCTCTGCCCTGCGTGCGCGCCCCACCAGATCGGGGGCGCGCGCGGCGAAGGGGCGGGACAGCGCGCGGCCGGGATGAGAAACTCGTCCCGGATATTTTACAAAGTTACCTGACTACACCTGGCTGTGTGTCACCCACGGATAGTCTGAGGAATATGACCCGTCCCTGCTCGACTGAGGTATAAATATCTTCTCTTTTTTGGGGGGTGGTTCTTCTTAAATATTCTCTTCTCCAAAGAACCGTCACTTGGTGGAGTTTTAGCTACGAGCGCCGCTGCGGTTGGAGGAACAGTTTCCCCGTGAAGTGTTCCTCCTTCTGGGTGTAGCTGGCTGTAGAAAACTTGTCAACAGGTTCCTTGTCGGCGCTGAGGTCCGAAGTCCAGCGAGGTCACGGGAGAGTTGATTATCGACAGACTGGGACAATGGGATTTGAATATGCCCCTAATACACTGATAAGTGTATTCAGTGTTGTGTGTATGTGTATGTGTATGTATGTATGTTTGTATGTGTGTGTGTGTGTGTGTGTGTGTGTGTGTGTGTTGACATTTGATTAAGCAGTAGAGGCAATCAATGCTAGGTGTATGTCCCATAATGTACAAATTTTAACTTGCAGATACATGTATGGCAGGAAATATGTGTGGAACCATAATAGTGTAAAAAAAGACAACTATTTAATTTCTTCATCTGTAGCTGTCAACACGAACCTTATTATATCAGACCAAGATGCAGGATGCATCCGTCTCTACATCAACCCCATCATTTTTAATTAAAGTTTTTACTTTCTAAATTCATTTGAGGCCTGCCTGTGATTTGGGTCATTATGGAAAACAAGTCTCCACACTGGGAACAGCTTGGTCTTTTAATGTATTCTGAGTTTGTCAGTGTGTTCAAACATTAACTCAAACACTGCGTGTGAGACAAGCTGGTCTACATCCATTAATCATTCACCTGCAAACCAAGACAGAACACATGAAGGTAGTTACACTTGCATATACACACACATACACACACGTATATATGTTTATGGATCTTCAAAGCTGATTTCATTGGCTTTCGGCATGCATTAGTAATGCGGTGTTTGTGTGTGTTTGTAGTCCTGTGGTGTCCGTTGCTCCCAGAGGCTGGTCTGGGTTCAGTCTTAGCATAGTGTAGCTGGGAGTGCTCCACTCCAAAAATGTTTAACATTCTTATCATTCAGCTGCCTGTGTGAGGCGGAGAGACGCAGCGGGGTGAGCAGCAGGGAGAGCAGCAGGGAGAGGGAAGAGACGTGTTCAGACCCAGGCCAAAATAATAAGGAATTACACACACATACACGGTCACTCCTTCGCATTCATGCTGCATTACTCACTGCAGCCCGATGCTCCCTGCAGCACGTAAATTACTCATGTCATCCCGAGGGAGGTGCACTGGAACACAACAGTCTGGAAACATCTAACGCTGTTTTTTGTCGTTGCGTACGCGGTGTGTGTTCTGCAGGTCCCCATTCAGTGACGAGCCGAGGGCACGGGTGTTTGTCTTGAGAGGGAGGCAGAGTTACCGTGGTAACAGACATGCCAAAACCGGACCTCCTCTGCCTAGTTCAGCTACTGGACAGCACCATTGAGACCTTCAGAGTCAGCGTGCGTAGCAAACCCACGCACGCACACAGACACACACAGACCTGTACGCACCAAACATGGTCCCCTTGTGACGTGAATGTGCTTCCTGTAACAAAGAGTGTGGAGAGAATGCAGATATGCATGTTATTCCTCAGTGATTAATAGTTAAACCTCAACATGTTTTTCGACTGAATATATGCATTATTAATTATATTTGTCAAATATAAAACAAATTTTAATATTTAAAATGATAAAAAAAAGAGAAACTTCCACATCCCCCTATACAGTAGGCACTAGTGCAACATATGGCACAGTACTTTTTTTACATTTACATTACTAAGCAACGGGTACATGTCAGTCAAAGCTTGCTGGTTGTTTCCATCTTTTTAGAAGCAAGATGAAGGCGTCGTTCTGTTGGACCAAGTATGCGACCACCTGGGGCTGCAGGAGAGGCAGCTCTTCAGTCTGCAGATCAGAGAATCCGGCACAGCCATCGCCTCAATCACAGCCAACACACACTCTCCTGTGAGCATTTGGGCTGGGAATGTAACATACTGCAGTCCCTGATTGCTGTTTAGATGATGATAACCACAGGGTGTGCTTTTTTTTTGCGCCAGCCATTATACTTAATGAATTTTTCTTTCTCTCAGAGATGGCTGGAGCCGGAGAAACCCTTGAAGAAGCAGTTAAAAGGTAACCGTCTTTTACTCACTCCTGGGAATTCACAGTTTTTTACCTAACCTTATTTCTCTTGTTTTAGAAGACATGTTACTATGCATTTATAGACCGAGTGTGTAGAAGAAAAGATGATTAAGGTGACCCTGCAAATAAAGATTTATACCGCTTCTCCGCAGGTCTTGCACCTCCTTTTTATATGAACTTCCGAGTACGATTCTTCATGTCTGATCCCAACTCTCTGCAGCATGAACAGACAAGGTCAGTATATGTGCCTCGCAGGTATGTGTTTTTGGCCTCAGTCATTTATCACCAGATATTGATCCGGTGAAGACTCATAACGGTGGTATTATGGAAAAATAAAGGTGTGTAAAGTTCCTCTTGTCTCCTACTACTAGGCACCTGTACTTCCTCCAGATCAGGAGTGACATTAGAGAAGGACGGTTAGTTACACACTCTTCCCCCTGTGCACAGTATGCTTTTAGCAAACAAACACGATGTGTAATCGTGGAATGTGATTGCAGGTTGCAGTGCCCGCTGAGTGCAGCTGTAGTGTTGGCCTCTTACGCCGTTCAGTGTAAGTTCAACCTCTTCCTAGACAAACAAATGATTAATTACTTAATTACAACTGAGTACGCACTTAGTGCTGTTAGGGGTGCTCTCAGTGAGCAGCAGCTCTCTTGCATGGCCCCAGATGTCACTGGTGAATGTGTGCGTCTGGTCACGTGTCAATGCTCAGTGACTCTCTCCATCGTCCTGCAGCGGAGATGGGGGATCACTGCCCATCTCGCCTCCCCGGTTACCTCGCCAAATGCTACTTCATTCCAGAGCAGGATGAAGACCTACCGTCTAAAGTGGAGGATCTCCATCCACAGCACAAGTACTCCAGACAATTTCACTGCATCTAGTTGCCACCAACAAAATAAAAGTTTGTGGTGCAGTTGGTTTCTGGTGATTGATGTGGATTCTGTTTCTGTGTGTGTGTGTGTGTTATCAGGGGTCTGAAGCAGAGCGAGGCGGAGCTGTGTTTCCTCAACACAGCACGGACGCTGGAGCTGTATGGGGTGGAGCTGCATGGCGCCACGGTAGAGGGATTCCCTCACATAAACTTTCATGCATTTCCTCTTCATTCCACTTTTTTGACACTTTTCCCTCATCGTCTCCAAGGACACCAATGATACCCCTCTGTTGGTGGGTTTGGCCTCCAGCGGCGTTGCAATATTCTGCAATAGGATTTGCTCCAGTTTCTTCCCCTGGTGAGTGATGACGACGATGGTTATATGTCTGTTATTTTATTTCTTCTCTTCCTTCAATTAATTGCATTCTTCCCATGTAGGGCAAACATCATCAAGATTTCATTCAAGAGAAAACGCTTTCTTATACATCTGAAACGTAAACATGTGAGTTTGTTTGTTTGTTATTTTGTTTTATTCTCAATAGCTCTGAACACATTGTTGCTGGTTATTGCTTTACACACCTGCCTGATGGCTCAATTGAAAGTTGGGAAATGAACATGCGTTTTGATGTATGCTGTAAGTGTAGCTGAATTTAGGAAATAATAATTTCCCATGCTTTTCATGGTCTACATGAAGTATAGTATTGATTCAATGGTACATCCTTGAGTTGGCAGGTTTTCTCTCCGTATTTAGATGTGTGACAAGTAATAAAACATTCATAAAAAAAGCAGATTTTTGGTTTTTGTTGCCGGCAACACAAGCATCTTTGGTTATAGGTGTGAACTTGAATATATTTTAAACTTTATACTGTATATTATATTGCAGGGCGAGACCCAGGACTGTGAGGTGTCTCTGGTTCTGCCGTGTCCCAAAACCTGTAAGAACCTGTGGAGGTCCAGTGTGGATCATCACTCCTTCTTCTGCTCCAACCGGACTGTTAAGAGCCCCAAACATAACAACACAACAGTTCAGTCCTACAGAAAGTTGATAACCCAACACCTGGGACTTGGCAACAGTAAATTTGAGAGGCAAGTGTTTCCTGTACTTTATTTATTTGCATGTATATTTTTGTCACAAACACTAAAAAGTTAACTTCCCTGTCTTGTTTGCAGTGGTCCAATGTGCCAGCGTGTTGTGGGGGGGATGGTGTGGAACCCGGTCCTGCGGAGGTCAATTTCATCTGACAACCTCGAAACCAAGAGCCTGCCCTCCAGATCGCCTCCGAACACCCCAAACTGGTACGACCTGCCACAAGTTTATGTTCTCAGCTGCAGTCAAACATCAGCGTCTCTTCTCCTTTTTTAAACTCATATTATATCACTAGATGAAATCTTCCACTCACCTGGTTTTGCTGTTTTTTCTCTCCGACAGGCGAAGTTCTCGAGTTCGCCACGGCCTCCGTAAACCTCGCCCGTCTTCGGCTGAACTGACCAATGACTTGAAAGACATGTCGGAGGGGGAGGACGTCTTCTACACATACCGGGCGTCGGTCAGCAGCAGCAAGGACAGTGAGGGAGACACTTCACCGCATCAGTGAGTATCAGAGCAATGTGTCTACTTAATGGGGCTTTTATCTTATTTATGAATAATAATTGCAGTTGAAATTTGCAAACTTGGTCATAGAGCGTCAATGAAATAAGTCAAGCATGTTATCAAAAAATAAAAAATATACATCTTCCATTCCATCCATAAATATTATGATATGTCAGAATCGTATCACATCTAATGTAATTTGTTAATCGGCAAATCAGGATGGTAAAGATGTCCTGAAATCATCTTTTAATCTTGTAGCCAGGGGACGGACGGGGCTTTGTTACAAACTGACGACAGTATAGGAGAGGAGGAGGGTGACCACATCTCACACCACTACAATAAGGTCAGATATGTCCCCATCAACTCAAAATGCACAGTCTGGTCTATAAATGTTGGGGAATTGACACAATTTCCATCATTTTGGCTTGACCACAATGAATTTGAAATGAAACAATCAACATGTGGCTTGAGTGCAGACTTTCAGCTTCAATTTGAGGGTATTTACATCCTAATCTGGAGAATGGTGTACAACAGATGATATATGGGCCTCCCTTTTAAGGGACCAGAATTAATTGGACAAAATAACATCATTAGATCGTTGATTGTTGTCTCATCAGAATGTTGTTCCAGGACCTTTCCCACAGGAGTTTGTTTTAAAAAAAATGTTTTTTGGCAAACTCCAATCTGGTGTTCCTGTCCTTACCAATCCTATACATCTTGTGCTGAACCCTCCGCAGTTACTTTGGTGAAGTCTTCTCTTGATTGTTGCCTTTGACACAGGTATACCTTCTTCTAGTTCTGGATCTGGCCAGCTGTTGTGAGGGTTTTTTTCTCCGACTGAATTCTTCAATCATGAACTTAGTGTTGCTGAGCAAATCAGCGCTTTGTGTCTTTTTAAGAATGTAGCAGTTGATTTGGTCATACCTTTTGCTATCTCTCTGGTGGGTTTGTTTTGAGTTCTTCAGCCTAACGACGGCTTGCTTCCCTGACAGCAACAACTTCTTGGCACCAGAATCCAAATGCAGATACCACTCTTTAAATGGACTCTAGACCCTTTATCTGCTCATTGTTAATGAACTAGGAGGGACTGCACTCAAAGCAAACCTTGATTTGTTTTATTTCAAATCCACTGGATGGTGTAGAGAGCACAGATGACTATATAAAACCGTATTTCCATCAATGTCCCTATTGATTCTGAGTAATGTGTGTGTGTGTGTGTGTGTGCAGGGTGCTCTCGGCGACGGGGACTTGATGCTCATATGTATTGCCCCCGATCATGACGGCAAGTTTGGCTTCAATGTTAAAGTGGGTCTCTCTCTTACGCTCTTTGTGTGTCTCTCGCCATCTAGTGTGGCAGGCAGCATTTCGTAGCGCTTTCCTATTTATTTTCACACGTTGTGTTTGTGTTTTCACTCCTCGCTGTTAATTTCCCAACTCCTCCTAGGGTGGAGTGGACCAGAAGATGCCTCTAGCCATCTCGCACGTTAAACCCGACTCTCCGGTAAGAAGTTTGTGTTTTGAAAGCCTAGTGTAAATAACTTTAAGATTAAATGTAAACACAATATGGACTGATAAATAGATACCAAAACAAGCTGTAACGAATACTCAATATATTGATTGCTTCAATGGTCGTTCATCAGAAATATGATTGATAATTACGTCCACCAAGGAGCTAATAACTTTGTTTTGGATAGACATTTTTAAGTTGAAGCCTCAACCTGACAGTGCTCTCTGGTGGTCAGGCAGTGTAACGGTGACACTGTTAATAAAGGACATAGTTTGTCGTTTCTGTACTGTAATTAGTTTCTAATTGACTGACGTACACACTCATACTGATTTGTATTTAACTCATATCAGTCGATGTATCCTTCCGGCACTAAGCCCTTCACTGGAAGGCAGATTGAGGTTTGGTGTGTAGAAGTCAGCTTTGTGCCGTTTGCAGGCAGGTCGATGTGAACCCAAACTCCTGGAGGGAGACCTGGTGGTCCTCATCAACGGCCGAGACATCTCTGAACACACACACAACCAGGTTGTCATGTTCATACGCGCCAGCAGAGAGTCGCACTCCAGAGAGCTGGCCTTACTCATCAGGCGTAAAGGTGTGTGTCTGTTTGTCTGTGTGTGTGTGTGTGTGTGTGTGTGGCACAGAGAGACAAAACTGCTGAAGCACCATGCAATACAAGAGCGCACGGCGCCTTTCTTCTCTCTATGAATATTTATCACAGCCTTGAACCGCCCTTGCGTTCCAGGTCCTGGCCGGGTGGCGCCCCTGCTGCAGTTACCTCCCGCCCTCACGCTCACCGGCCAATCACAGGGAGACAAGCTGTCAGCGGGCCAGTCGGAGAGGGTCACGACAGTGGAGGAGTCGATGAGACAGCTGGAGAGAGGAATACAGTCCGGCACGCTCTGTTTTCATTTTGAGGTATTAAAAATGCAGGCGGGAGCGAAACATTGTACAGGTATTTGAAAGGGCCAAATCAAACCAAATAAATCTTCTTCTTTTTTTAAAGCTGGCCGACAAACAGTAATTTTGGATCATAATGAGTATGTTTTTGGGGTCCTAATTTTTACTCAGACAACCAACAATTTAACACAAAGACGCACTCACCCGCCTGGAATGTGCAGTTCTTGTTTGTGCATGTTTCCGTGTGTTTACGCGCAGACTGTGTGTTTGTATGCTTGTAATTCCTAGAATTTATACAGGAGGAAGCCTGGTCTATCTCTAAACTGTGCCCGGCTCCGTGAGAACACAGAAAAGAATCGATATAAGGATGTTTTACCTTGTAAGTACTGCTTATCCCTTTTAACCGGTGCGTCTGTTCCCTGCTATCCGTCCTCCCCTCCCATCTGCAGCTCTGTGCTCCCTTTTCTAACATTTGATCTAATGAGCCCACCGCTGTGTCACCTCATCAACTTACTAATTGCTTGAGTATGTGGTGCTTCTGAGGCTCAATGATGACCCTCACACACTGCTGCCCCTGCTCTCCTTTCAGACGATGCCACCAGAGTGGTGCTGCAGGGCCCGGAGGACTACGTCAACGCCAGCCACATCAAGGTGGGCATCGCTAATATGACGTGTGTCTTCCCTTTCCAACATTTAATGTAATCATCTGTGTGTGTGTGTTTGTGTTTTACTTGTCTGTCTCGCAGATGGTGCCCCCAGCGTCTGGTGTGTGTTTACGTTATGTCGCCGCTCAGGGTCCATTGCCACAGACCATCACTCACTTTTGGCAGACTGTTTGGGAGCAACAGATACACACCATCATCATGCTAACAACTCTGACAGAGAGGGGACGGGTATACATGCGTTCAGACTTTTACACCGTAAACAGCCTCATCGACACGGGGAGTGAAAAATTACACAGCTCAATATCAGCGATGCATTGACAGTGATTACTACAAGCCCTACTTGTACATTATTACATGATGATTCATTTTTTACTTGATATGTGATTACTGTAATTACAAGATACAGCAGGGATGTTTGTTCACAAAAATGATACATTTTCACCATTGTGAGTAATTCTAGGATTTTAAAGTGTAGAGAACAGCTAAATGTGAACAGGGCACAAAGAGAAATAATTTGGGGGTGAGGACACGTTCACACAGAGAGACAGAGACGGCGACGTATCAAGGTCTTGTTGTATGAAGATGTCTCCAGCTCGGCTGTTGCTTGGTAACCAGATGCTTTCATTGATTGATAATTTTCCCTCATACTCGTCAAGTGCCAGGAGTTTCTCTCTACATGACGATCACACACACACACACACAAATTGAAAAATCAGTTCACATCCTGCTCCTGATGTATTATTATTTGTATGTTGAATATAGAATTTTATGAATTTTATGAGAGCACAGGACAGCTGATGCAGCAGCATTCATACACTGTTTCCTGACTGATGACTCATGTCACGTGTAATGTAATTAGGCTGTGATGTCATACACTTGCAGACCAAGTGCCACCAGTACTGGCCGCATCCACCAGAAGTGAAGGATTATGGGCACATGCGGGTGAAGTGTCACTCTGAGGAGTGTAACCTGGCATATGTGACGCGGCAGTTCACTCTGACACACACACAGGTACAGTAACCAACGATTAGCCGCTCAATACAGAATTAATTGCATCCATTTGGATAATTACATTAGATTGTAGGTTGTATAAAGGACAAAATGAATTGTTAGATCTTTACAAATGTGAAAATGTGCTGCTTTTTCTTGTCTGAATCAGTTCATTCAAAACTGGGGATTTGGATATTATGGTCAGACAAGACCAGCATGAGCTCTTATGAGTGTGTAGCATTACAAGGGGTCTATCGGCAGAAATGCAATATAATATTAATGAATATGTTTCAAAGGTTTCAGCCAGAGGCTTCACACGGAACCTTTAACCGTCTTCTGATCTCATATAAGCCAAACAATTAAGCGAGAAAACCGTCTGCATGGATATAATTAAGAAAATAATCAGTTGCGACCCTAGTTGAAGGTCAGACCTGCTTCCATATCCATGTGACACCTAAGCATGGTCACGGTCACACACACAACACAGAGCTTTTCTATTTGTATGTTTGCAGTGACATGTGCCGTGTTTGTACCATATGTCCCATAACAAAGTTCACCGCAGGCAGCAAACTATCCACAGCCAAACACAGAGTCCACTCCGTATGGATGCCGTGGTCTGTATGTGTGTGTGTGGCTGCGCTTGGGCGTGTTACTGTGTATTAAAGAAGTATGTGGAGGTCTTTCTGAAAGGTTTATCCATAACAGTAAAACCCTTAATATGGCATATAATTTGATTTAAATCAGCTAATTTCCACATTGATTTCTGGAGCAATCGGGCAAATAAACAGATTCAACTCAAGGAGGCATGAAGTATGAAATCACACACATGCACACACAGATACTGCTGTGTGAGCCCATCTGCTCTTCTGGCGGATTGAGTTAATCCCTGCATGGAGTCACAGGCCACATGACTATTATAAACTCTAAACTCAGCCATTCCCCTCGCCACCTGTTTTCATCTTTCTGTGTCCCTCTCCACTTTCTAATCCAAGTGTCGGTCACTCGCTGGCTTGTTCTGCTCACCAGCTCCGTGTTTCCACCACTGCACCCTTCTGTTTTCTCACATGCTGAATATTGTCAGAATGTTTAAGCTTGAGTTAGTCTCATGTGATATATTCACCAAATGATATCTGTTTTGTGTGTGTGTGTGTGTGTGTGTGTGTGTGTGTGTGTGTTAGCGGGGGGAGGAACGGACTGTCACACACCTGCAGTATGTCGCGTGGCCCGACCACGGCGTACCCGACGACCCTTCAGACTTCCTTTTGTTCATCACCTCTGTCAGGGAGAGGAGGAGAGGTGAAGAGCCACTAATGGTACACTGCAGGTAACGCACAAACTCTTTCTTTCTCTCTCACACATACACACACACACACACACACACACACACACACACACACACACAAATGTGCTCTACCTCCCGCTACTATACACTTAATTCTGGGTTGTTGTGAATTTCAGTGCTGGGATTGGACGGACGGGTGTTCTGATCACCATGGAAACGGCTCTAACTTTGTTGGATGGGGGTCGGCCGGTGTTCCCGCTGGACATTGTGAAAACATTAAGAGATCAGCGAGCCATGATGATTCAGACCACGGTACGGAGAAACAAGACGTGGTTTTCTGTCCCGGTGATTGTTTAAAATGTATCATAGTCACTTGTTGCTTGAGAGTTTAAGCTGTCCTCAATATTCATTGTGTGTATTTTCAATATATTTTGGCTGTTTATAGGCTTTTAATTATCAGAAGAACCAGCTGATTTGTCTTCTACTTCTTCTAAGTGGCCTTGGTTTTGGACAACCGCAGGGTCTTGTCACCTTCAACCTTCATTAAACCACAGAAAAGTGACGGCCACAGTTTTATACTGAAGGCAGAGGAGCTCTGTGGCACCGTGGCGGTGTTTGTCGAGGGAGAGGGAGAGGAAAGTGGTACTCGTTGCTTTGATGGGAGATAGTGCTGGGAATATGGCTGTTCTCCAGTCACAAGCCTGCTTCAAGGCCACTACCTCCACCACTATAACCCTTATTTTGAAAGGCGAGGCCCGGGGATTCTGCTCCTTGGTGTATTTATGCTGATGGAACGTTTCCTCAGGTTCCCCTTGTTTGTGTCCCTGACAGTGATGGAAAACATGCAGCGTCAGAGGACAACCCTCCGAGTCAAGAAACCATATGTTTAGATTACATTGTTCTGCAATGTGTTAAGTCTCTCCACACTTTCCCATGTCTGTCTTCCTTACACACCGCTACGAGGCACATGCTGAAAATAACTCACAGATCAACAGTTAACAAATCAATCTCACCATGACGTCGACCTAGTAGCTGAGCTTTCAGTCGTATCATACAATCTACTTCTAGCAGCTCGCTAGTGTAGAAGGGGGTGTTGGTTGGATCACTTTGGTGATTCTGTGACTTTTCCTCTGAGGCCACTAATAAGGTTCACATTTGTGGTTTGGAGTGAAATGTTGCAACATTGGATGGATTACAGGGAAATTTGGCAGATGCATTTGCGTCCTCCTCGGGACAAATTCTAATTGATGTGGTGATCTGCTGACATTTATATATACACAAGGACATTGTCAAGACAAGATTTTAAATTTTCAATACTTAGGTTAGAGTATCAGCAAAATTAAAGACATTCCCATCGATCTCTGTTGGGCCCTGGTGTTAGTTGTAATTAGCAAATGCTAACATTTTAAAGTAAGATGTGGATAATTGCAAATGGTGTACCTGCTAAATATCAATATGAGCTTGTTGTTGCGAGCTTGTTAGCATGTCCAACATTAGCATTTAGCTCGAGGCCCCGCTGTGCCAAAGTACAACCTCACACAGCAGCTTGTGCTGCAGCGGGCTCTTAGCGTTCATTAAGAAAAGACTAACACAGCTGGGAGCTGCACTTTGCTACTCAATTCTACTCAAATTGTAATAAAAAGCATATTTCAGGGGACTATTTTCACCTGCTTATTAATCCGTAAATCAAACAGTTAAAATTGCAGAAACGGAGAGAAGAGGGAAGATAACAGAAACCGAATAAAAAAAATTAAAAAAAACAATAATAACCAAAAATACAGTCCGATGCCTATAGTGCAGTCGGGGAGTAAGATCTATATTGTCCAGTGCATCTGGAATACAATACAATACAAAGAATACAAAGAGATATTAGATAAGTACATGCAATGGAAAACGTCCAGTGGTTAACACCCTGAACGGAGCCTTTGTTTGTTTTTTAAATGATTGAATACTACCTGTATGAGTTATATGAGGAGGTAGTAAATTCCAAGCATTAATTACACAAAACAATAACTGTACAGTTGAGGAAGTTTGTTCTTAGGCTTAAATTGAACACATATTCATTCACATTGCTAGTTTGTAGGTTCAGTCCATTTTTCTTTTCATGAAATGTAATGACATGTTAAATATAATCAGTAATGCCCTTTTTAAAAATGGTCGCGTAACAGCTACTAACACACTGTTTGTTGTGTGTTTCAGTGTCAGTTCCAGTTTGTGTGTAAGGCCATTCTGCGAGTCTACAAAGGGGAATAAGAGGGATCTGCAGCACCGTAGCCCAAATCAGCAACAGGAGCAGAACAGACGCACTCCGCCTCTTCTCATTGCAGGCGACTGCCACAAAGGGACTAGAACAGATTAACCTCTGCCACTGCGGGACTGGTACACAGACTGGATAATGAGAGTATAACCAGCTTCAGAGCACAGCTGTCTGCGATCGGTGTAGCCTAGATTCAATGCAAGAGCATGAGTCCAACGCCTAGTCGGCCTTAGTGTTTCCTGATGCATTTCGCTAGTAGAGGCTGCGGTCTCCATAGAGACTGATGTAAAACTGATTTGAGCTGCGAATTTCTGTCAAAGGGGCCTCGAAAGGAGTGTTGCTTCTACTTATTTAGCCACGCGGGCCTCAGACTGACGCCTGCCAATCGTCCGGCCGAACGGGGTGGCAGAGACAGATGAAAAAACTACAGATTACAAAGATCCTTGTGTTTTTTTTTTGTGCATTTCCAAAGACGAAGAGCGTGGCAGGCGTTGAAATCACTACAGCGGATACTGTAAGGTCGCGATGATGCTGCGTCACGCGCTGTTGGCTCGCAGAGCGCCGAAAGCGACTGTTCAACACTTAAATTATTAAGACACTAAATAAACACACAGATTTATACTCATTTGTTTGCTTTGTCATTTCCTGTTATAGTGAATGTTATGAATTATATAATTTATTGAGGATGTTTTATGTTGACTCTTAAAGCTCCTCACAGTCCAATAAGTCTCTGCAGGTTTTATGATGTTGTATAATTAAGTTCTTTACTCATTTTTAAATGCAGTATAAAGCAGGCATGAGGAGTTTGCTGTGCAAAGTACCAACTAAAACCCCAAAGGTGTGGTTTCCGCATTCCACCGACTATTTTACGGAAGCGGCTGATGCTAAGAAATCTTCATGTTTGGTTCAATAGATCTGCTGGTGTAGAGTTTGTTGAGGTAGAAGTTATGACGTTTAGTTAATTCTAAGAGTTCCAATGACTATTTCTAACCCAAAATATTTCCAGCCAGAATTGTATTCCCGGCACTGGAGAAAAACCTTAGTAGACCTTCATGATGGTTTGTAGGTAATTAATGTGAATAAACAACTACATGAATATTATTAATATTATTTAATGTAATGCTTATTTCTACATTCCCGGGCACGCCTTTACTAATAGTGACACCAAGCATTCTCATTACGGCGGACCTGTGGCGGGCAGGTGGACGGCAGGGGGCGCTGGTTCACCAGCACGGATGGGTCAGCCAGTCGCGAGCAACTGAAGTTTGGCGGTGTTTGTGCGCATGCGCGGATCACACTGTTTGTCCTGTTTCGTCGGTTGACTTTTACCTGTGAAGGTAGACTAGTTTCGATTCGCCGGCGGCTCGAGGAACAGCAGCCACCGGGGTCCCGTTCAGAGGTTATTCGACTTTTAACACCCGCCTCCCCGGCACAGTGCGGCTCTCGCTGCGGGGCGTCGGAAAGGGTTTTCTCTCCGGTATTTTAGAGTCGGTGCGCAACAGCGAGAGAAAAGCAGGAGGCAGGTGCACGAGAGAGGAGCGGGCAGGCTGGGGGGGGGAGGAGAAGGAGGAGAAGGAGGGCTGCTCGCATTTCCGCGAGGGAGTCCCGTCGTTTACACCGGGGCGAATGGTTGAAAATCAACAGTTTGGCGCCTCTGTGGTCGATCCGCGTTAGTTTCATTAGTATGCGGCTGGAGTCTCTCCCACCCGCCCAGCACACCCCATCCTGCCGCCGACATCCAGCCTGAGGATTGATCGGCAGCCCTGAAGTCTCCTCCGTGCCTGCTAAGTGACTCCTCGCCCCGGGGAGGACGAGGAGGAGGAGGAGGAGGAGGACAACCGACCGTTGTGCGGGTCAGTTTTTACGGACGCGGACACGGACCTCCGCGCCGCGCGGTTCGGGAAGATGATGGGCTTTTTGCGCCGGACCTTCAGCCGCCGCTCGAGGAGCCGCGTCCTGGCGAGAGAGAGGGACGAGCAGGACGGTAAAGGGGGAGGAGGAGGAGGAGGAGGAGGGGGGATGACCGGGAACCCTTTACTCCTGGCCCATCAGCAGCAGGTCGTACACGCGCCCGCCGTGGTCAGCGGGGGGGCGTCGGTTCACATCCCGGCGGCCGGGACGGCGAGGACCACCATCACCTGCCGGGTGCTGCTGCTGGACGGCTCGGACGTCAACGTGGATTTGCCTGTGAGTGAGTTCCCTGGAGACGTGGGGGGAGGGGGGCGTTGACTAGGTGATAGAGCCAGGTCCGGGACCCCCCTAGGGACCCCGTGAAGACCCAGCGGGTTCTCCTGGTTCACGGGCTGAAATGTGTCATATTAATCCTGGAACTTTTTATTTTAAATTCAATGTATGAAGATAAACTAAAATGTAATCGCATGAGGTGAACAGTGTCCTGGTTAGATACTATGTACAAAATGAAATTTAGTTTTATTTCCCATTCATCTATAAAATGACTGTATTGGCTACTTTTCTCCATTTCATCTCATTTAAAGTCAAGTACTTAGAAGATTTGGCCAAAGCTCCTCTTTGGATATAAACAACTATATTAGTTTTTTTTTTTGATTGATTTTTTTAATCAATCAATCAATTTAATGTTTTTGACATGTATTTAGCTAAACAATTATAAAAACTATATAAACTCAATAAATTGCAGTTAAAGTTTTAATGGATCAAGAACAATGTGTCTAAAATGTGTCTATTGAAAAGTTCTGAAAGTTTCACTGCCTGTAGGGGCTTTATAGTAGCCCGCTGGTGTGTGTGGGCCTCTTTCCTGTAGCGAGAGTAGCTGCTCCAGATGGTGTTATGACCAGCCAAGTCATCGCATTACTTCCCCGTTCTGACCGCTGAGAAACCCACCTAAGACGGAAACTAAAGCTGCCCAATATGCCCAACATCTTCCTTTCACTTTGTTTGTCTTCTTTCTCTTTCTGTCTCTATTTGCTTGTATCTGATTTTCTCTGAGAAATCTCTGCTCTCCCCTTGTCTCCCATCCATTTCCCCCTCTCGATCTTCCTTCACGCTCCCTCTGCCTGCTCCCTTGCTCATAATCTTACTCTTTCACACTGCCTCATCATCTCTCCTCCTCCTCCTCCTCCTTTCCCCGCCTGTTCTCCATCCATCTCCCTCTATTCCCTGACTCCCTGATCTGATTTATAACCGTAGGGACTCTGTGTCACGTACAATGGCTACGAGTGTGTGAAGGGTAGGTGGGATGATGAGCGAGTGTGTGGGCATTCGTGCGCAAGTGGCTTCTCCTAAGATGTTTTTTTTTTTTTCGCTTTGAAGGTTGCGTGTGTCACCGAAGCTGCCGCGTGCATGCGTCACCTCTGAAACGCTCGGACGGTGTATAATTGCTTCTCAGAGTAGAGAGTATATCTTTCGCGCGCACCGACGGGGGGGGATCTCACAGCAAATAATGCCAAGCAACAGCTGCAACAACAAGATGACACAGAGCTCTTCAAGCTGTTGGCTTAGTCAAAGGTGTGTTGGAACAAGTTGGCTCATGCCAGGTGTGCGGAGCAGAAACTTTCCCAGTAAAGCTTTTTCGCCTGTCCCTTCGGGGCTAAATGCAGCGAAGACCCAAGGTGGAACAGAAACAGTCAAAAATTCACTCACGTGTGTGTCACATTTTTGCCCCCCCCCTTCCACGTCCCCAATCCCTTAATACCACTGATTTCCCCACACAGCAGGATCCAAAGTACAAAGCTGTCATCTTTCTACACAACCGCCGTGTGTGGAATACGGGTCGGACTGGGGTCGGGTCTTGAGGGCGACGAGGGACATCTGCTTGTGAATTGTTCAGTTGAAGTTTGGGTGAAAATGTTTCCAGTTGTGCAATAAGTGCAGTTACCGGTGTGTTATTTACCGAGGCCTGGGTACACACATTTCCCTCATTGGCTTGTCCTGCTCTTGTGTTGACCCACAGGCAACGTTAACCCATTTTGCACCTTATTGTCTTTCGTGCCGGAATTAGGTGAAACTCGAGTTTCCAGACTCACTTCACCTTGAGGGGATCGGGTTACAACAACGCAGGAAATGAGAATAAACACACATAAAGCTCAACGTATTGGACCTTTTTGTTCTTCTTTTGTAGAGCAAGTGTAAAGGCCAGGACCTTTTTGACCAGATCATGTATCACATAGATCTGGTGGAGACCGACTACTTTGGATTGCAGTACATGGACGCAGACCAAGTCTCGGTGAGCAACCACCTCTTCCTTCTCTCACAGTCGGACAGAAAATGGTTAAAGTCATTTTCACCTTCTGATTCTTCTTCTTCTTCTAGCACTGGCTGGATGTGTCCAAGCCTATAAAGAAACAGATCCGAGGTAAGTTCAACCTACTGCTTTTAAAGTTACGCCTACTCGTGTGTGTGTGTGTGTGTGTGTGTGTGTAAGCAGGTAAGTGGGGAGCAGGTGGCGCATTGTTTAATGTTGACATGGCGATTAGCATGTGCATTAGGTAACTGAGGGATGAATGTTACAGTGAGAGACTGCTTGCTTGCTCGTCCCTCCTTTTGTAGTTTGCAATACTAATAAGATATTTTTCCTTATTGATAAATTACTACATATCTTTGTTTATGTCTTTTCTCTCACATGTGTACACACCTGCACGCATACAGTATTGTTTTTACATTTTTCACTTTTAGACGGGCCTCCGTACAGGCTGTTCTTCAGAGTGAAATTTTACTCTTCCGAGCCAAATAACCTGCGCGAGGAATTTACAAGGTAAAAATCTCACACACACCAATCACACACTCGCACACATGGATTTTCTCAGGAGGCCCGTGTGGAGCTCCAAAGCGGATGTGGGGCTAATTACCTCGCTGCTGTGAGCGGATTCAAATCAAGGCCAAACGGCCAGAGACTTGATGTGGCATAGACAGAGGAAAAATCTGTGATGCATCAATTGATTTATGAAGGTTGCGCCTCTCACTGTGTGTTGTTTTTCTTTATTTATTTTACACTAACAGGTATCTGTTCGTGTTGCAGCTTCGTCAAGACATTCTGTCTGGCAAGTAAGTAACTTTGTGTCAACATTACAGTGTAAAATACTCAGACAGACAAAGACATGGCCACTGTGTCAATTGTATATGTTACATTTTAAATGATTATTTAGTTTGATATTTTTGGGAATGTGTTTATGAGAGGAAAACAGAAAGGGGAGAACTTGTTGTGTTACTCAGCTCGACAAGTGTGTTTGATTCTTTGCTCTGATCCTGAACAAATAACCCCATTACTTACAAATAATTACGATAGGAAGCAAACTTACAATTACTTCTTATCCTAATTGCTCAACCGTCAATATGGTTATTTGGAGTTCAAGTCGGGAAACAGTTGTTTGTTTGGTATGTTAATTAACCCCTGAAGCAACAGCTAGTGTTGTCTCAGTCATTGCAAATGCCTGGTGTACGACCAATTATTCAAAACCCACACAACTTTATTTACAATTCCAATGTAGAGCCAAACACACTGAATACGACCCTGATTTATAAGATAATTAGTTTCATAATTATGCTTAAGACTTCTATGGCATTTAATCCTTAGGAGTAATTTCAGGGGACTTTCTCTTTATCTGCCAAGAGCGCCGGTTCTCAAAAGTAGCGTCTCACACACACCCACCT